TGCTATGTTTGAACGTGTTTTCTCAAAAACATCTGTGCTGACAACTTGATTCAGATGCAACCCTGTTGGGAGGCGGGACCTTTRGGGTATTCAGATCAATGCCACTACAAAAAGATTGTGAGAATGGACTCACTCTGTCCCCTTCCACCTTCTACCACTACGGGTCAGCAAGAAGGCCTTCACTAGACTCCACATACCAGCTTGATTTTGGACCTTCCAGTCTCCAGAACTGTTGGAAAACTTCTGTTTCTAATAAATTACCCAGTCTCAAGTGCTCTGTTACAGTACCAAAAAACAGACAGACACTGTCCCTGAGGAAGCACAGATTGAATTTTATTAAGACTTAAAGTCGATTTGTCTTAATATGCTCAAAGAGATAAAAGACATAAGAACAATGTTTTAACAAATAAAGAATAGTAACGCAAACACAGAAACTATTCAAAGAAAACAAATTCCTGCGCTGAAAAGTACAAAACTTGAACTGAAAAATTCACTGGAATGTTTCAGTAAGAGATATGAACAAACAAAAGAATCCGCAAATGTGAGGACAGATCAGCTGAAACAGAGCCTAAGACACCTGTAGGGTGCCATCAAGAGAACAAACACACATGTCAGGGAGTCCCAGAAGAAAGGGAATAGAAAGAGAAAGAATATAGAGAGAAATAAACATTGAAAACTTACCAAATTTGAAAAAAGACAGGAGTCTAGACATCCAAAAAGCTCAACAATTGCCTAGAAAGGAATCAAAATAACATGCCAGACAAAAAATTAAATAAACACAAATGAAGGGGCTGGGGATAGAGCTGAGTTGGCAGAATGCTTGCCTAGCATGTACAAGGCCCTGGGTTCAATCCGCAGCACCACAAAAAAATTTTTAAGGGGTTGTGGCTCAGTGGTAGAGCACTTGCCTAGCATGTGTGAAGCCCTGGGTTCGAGTCTCAGCACCACATATAAATAAAATAAAGGTCCATTTACAACTAAAATATATATATATATTTAAAAAAAAATTTTTTTAAATTAAAAAAAACACTACAAAAGAAGGCAATAATGGAAAATGAGAAACAAAAATATGTAACACAGAGAAAATGTGAAAAATGACAGAAGTGTTTCCTTACAAGTAATTACTTAAAATGAAAATGAATTAAACCCTCCAGTTAAAAAGCAAAAATACCCAGAATGGAAGGAGAAAAAAGGAAAACAAAAAAGGCATGAACCAACTCTGTTATGTGCAAGAGACCAGCTTCAGTTCCACAGACACAAAAGGTTAAGAGTGAGAAAAACGGAAAAAATACAATCTATGCAAATATTGACCAAAAGAGATGGGAGGTGACTATCAGACAAAGTCAAATACAAGAAATGAAGGCCACTGTATATTAACAAGAGTTGATAATTAATTCCATCAAGAACACCTAACAATCATTCACACAGATGCTTCATCTCATAAGACCCAAAACAGATGAAGCAAAACTTGGCAGAACTGACAAGAGAAACACACAGCTTTACCACAGCTGGAAATGTTAACAACACACTTTCAATAGTAGCCAGAAGAACCAGCAGGTTAATAAGATGCAGGGCTGGGAGGCGCTCAATGCCCTAGAGCACCCAGTCCTGAGTTCCTTCCTTCTCAGCACTGCAGACCAGCAGGGACAGTGACACAGGAAAAAGGGCAAAGGCTGTGTAGCACTGTGCGGCAGGGAACCACACACACAGAACTGCCACCCACGGAGAGCAGGCCACACACTCCCAGTTCACATGGGACTCTCCAGGCAGATCTCATATCAGACCAAAACACAAGTCTCGATAAATTCTGAATTCTGAAGTATTCTGTGTATTTTCTCTGATCACTAGAGATAGAATTCAAGGGCATTTCAAGAGATAAAATACTTAGGGGAAAAAATTAACCAAGGAGGTGAAAGGCTTATACACTGAAAATTCAAAACACTGTTGAAAGAAGTTAAAGGCTCCCTAAATAAATGGAAAATACCCTGTGTTCATGGACTGAAACACAAATTACTCAGATGAGCCTGCCCAACATAAATTACAAATTCAACTCAATCTCTTTCAAAATCCCAACAACCTGTTTTTCAGAACTGGATAAAGCTGATCTCTGAATTCATATGCAATTGCAAGGAGCTCCAAACAGCCTCCAAAAACAATGCTGCCTGCCTAGCAGTTCCCATTTTCCAATCACACTGCAGCTCAGTCATCGATACAGTGTGGCCAAGAAGAGTGAAAAGAAAACCTAGCAAGATCAGCAGAGTAGAGCAAGTGGACCAGGAGAGGGAGGAGGGAAGAGAAGGGAAGGCCTGGTGAAGGAGACTGAGCAGAAGTCATGTGCAGGTGCCAACACGGCACAACAGACCTCGCAAAGCATGACTGTAAGGCACCAGCAAGGAAATAAACAGCAAGAACCTCAAGAAAGGAAGTCTATCAAATGGAGAATTTGCAAATTGCATTTCTGATAGGTGTGACTTCCCAGGATAAAATCAAAACTCTTACACACTCAACAACAAAAAGACAAATGACCCAATTAAAAAGTGGGTAAAGAGTTGAATGCACATTTCTCAAAGGAAGTCACGGAAGTCACATAAGTGACGAAAAGCACATGAAAGCTCAACATCCACAGTCACAAGGGAAACGCAAGCCCAAACCACAGCAGGCGTCCCTGCACACCAACTTGGAGGGCAGGTGAAAAGTGGGAAGGTGGAAAACAAGTGTCAGGAGACGTGAGAACTCACTCTCCCATGCTGCCAGGGGACATGAGGAACAGGCACCTGCTCTGTAGGTCACACGGCAGCACTGCCAGCCGGGTGCCTCCTGTGGACACACCAACGAAACTGAAGGCATGTGGACGAAGGCTGGCGGCAGCAAGGTTCACCACAGTCAAAGGCAGGAACAGGCCCACGGCCAGCAGACAGAGGCCGAGGAGGCGCGGCACAGGCCAGGCACACGCTCACTAAGTACTAACCATAGGAACGGAGACAGTCCACACAGGTGATCCTGGGGAAGCCAAGTGGAGGAGCCAGACACAAAGGTCCCACACTGCACAACCACACTTACATGACTCTCCAGGTCGCACGGTCCACAGACAGAAAGCAGACAGGGCAAACTGGGGGAAGCAGGGGGGACTACCTGAGGGCCAAGGGTTTTCTTTAAGATGATAAAAAAGTTCTGGAACCAGATGTAAGTGGCAGTCATCCACAACTGTGAACACTTTTCAACTGTTTACTTTTAAAAGGTTATTTTTTACGTTACATGAATTCTACTTCAATAAAAAGGTTTAGAGTGAATTTGCGATGGTGCACACCTGTAATCCCCACAACTGGGGAGGCTGAGGCAGGAGGATTGCGAGTTCAAAGCCAGCCTCAGCAACAGCAAGGTGCTAATAAGCAGCTCAGTGACGCGCTAACCTGGCATGCGTGCGGCCCGGGTTTGATCCTCAGCACCACATACAAAGATGTTGTCTCCGCCCAAAACTAACTAAATAAATATTAAAATAAAAAAATAAAAAAATAAGCAGCTCAGTGAGACCCTGTCTCTAAATAAAATATAAATAGGGCTGGGAGTGTGGCTCAGTGGTCGAGTACCCCTGAGTTCAATCCCTGGTACCAAAAAAAAAAAACATGAACTGAAGGAAGGATAAGCAAATTCAAGCAAAAAGACTAGCTGGAAAAAAAGGCAGATAAATGGGAGGTGGGGCAGAGGTTCAGCGGAAGCGCTTGCCTGGCATGTAAGAGGCACTGGGTTCGATTCTCAGTACCGCATGTAAATAAATAAACACAATAAAGGCCCTTAAAAAAAAAAGCAGATAAATGGATCAGTGACTGAAGATGGGCAATGAGGGAAATTTTGCTTTTTTATGTTGCTTAAACACTAATGCTTCCAGAGTATGTTTGCTTATTTACAGGCACAACCTAGGAGAGAGGGAGAGAGGAAGATGCAATATACAAAGGAACCAAGTCCCTGACCCCACAGCACAGACCAGACACTTGACTTCTGAACCAGGAAAGAGGGCAAAGGTGGCACGGGGTAGGAAGACCTCACAGGGTTCCTTCCCCTCTGGTGGTTCCACAAGAGACATGGAAGAAGGGGTGGGGGAAAGGAGCTGTGCAATGACCTCTAGGAGGGTGAGAAGGAGAACTAGCAGGGGAAGGGAGGGAGCCTGGTGGGTGCGTGGCTGAGCCTGTGGCTATGATATGCAGGGCATGGGAAAGGCACAAGCTGGCTTGCGGTGGGGCCAACACTGAGGCAAGTGAGGGTGCTCACCAGAGCATGAAGTCCAAAGGAGGCCCACAGAGAGAGAGAAGCAAGCCGTCCCCACTCTCCAACAAAAATGGCTGAGAGCAAATGGGGTCAAGAGACTTTAACGTAGGAGCCCTGGCATGAGGCACAAGTATGGGTCACAGGAACCTGGATTACAGAGCTGACTACAGAAGGGAGAAAGCAAGGCTGTGGAGGTGTGAAGGCTGCCACTGCTGAGCCAGAGAGCTGGGGCCACTCACGCCACAACTTGGCCAAGAAGAGCGAAGGCAAGCGGGGTCAGGGTCTTGAGTTGCTTCTGAAYGTCACAAGTGACCAGGTGGCCAAAAGAAACAGCTGTGGAGAGGACAGCACGGACACAGCCTGTAGACATGAGTGTCAAAGGGACACTCAGAAACATTCAGAAAGTGAGGGAAGAAACAGGTGAATACAGCGGGACTTGCAACCTCTGCTTAGGTGACAATGGAATCRTTTATGTCGCAAGGAACATGATCTGAGGAATAAGACGGGTAGGACAATCTGACTTCTCTGAGACTCCGTTTGCTAACCTGCAAGATGTGTTAAGACTCTACCTATCTCAAGCAATGTGGCGATGGAAGGGGAGATACAGGAAAGATCCAGAACTACAGGCTAAATACAGCACGAGTGGGAGACCTTCCTTCCACCCAGAAGCCCATGAACTGGTTCCGGGGGCATTTCCAGACGTGGAGGGAAGCAGTGAGCGATGGCTGGCCACATACCTCAGTGTCCCTGGGCTGCTGGGCAGCCAGGGCGTGAGGCTCTGGCTCCTCATCCTCTGTGCCATGCTGCTTGGATTCGCACTTGCCTCTCCTGCAGTTGCCCCCACAGGACGTCTCTCCTTTCTGAAGAGCCTGCAACCGGGAAATGAACCTGGTTTTCCAGGCTCTGAAGTCGGCCTCGATGCTGCCATGTTTGCTTCTAACTGCATCACAGTCCCCGTCTCCTCGGGCCAGCACACGACGAGCACCAAGCATCCAGAGCCACTTATCAACATTCTTGCCAACCTGCAAGAACAGAGAGATGAGCCAGACGGCATGTGGGAGTCTAAAGGCCCTCAGACTGCTCTCCAGAGCCCAGGGCTGCACGGGGCTCTCGCCAGGGGCTGCTGAGGCACAGGGAACTGCAAGCCCTCAAAGGCTACTCTCAACCCAGCCAGGCTGCACTTTATGTAATATTCTAATTCTCTGCGAGAAACTTTTTTTTTTTTTGACAAAGAAACAAACAAACCCTGTCAGTGGACAAAGTGTTAATAACAAAAAATTTAAAACTGCTGCTCTAAATCATGGTCAGAACAAAACACTCATTAGCAAAGCAAATGAGTTCCCAAAATGTAACAAAGCCTGTGGGGCCAAAGCCCAGTTAGAAATAAAGTACAAAGGGAATCAATTTGGCAAGACTCATGTCTCACAAACTCCCTATGATCTGAAACAGTTAAGCTGAGGCACAGGGGTCAGCTTAGGTTGCCAAGGGGCAAGGCTACATGAATACTTACATACATGAACTTTCTCATTCTTAGTCTAATGCCTTTGAAAATACAAGGGAAAATCTACACTGTGATACGATGAAGGAAAACCAGGACTAAAGCAAGCTGAGTGCCCAACACCACACACTCCACCCACCACAGACCAGCCAAGGGCCCTGAGGGACAGCCACCCAGGAGCTCTGGTGACCCTGCAGAATATGAAAAGCCAGAGGCTCTGTGGCTTGATTTCTTTAAGTACAATGAGCAGGATACAAACAAAAAGGAACCAAGTTAACTTCATTTCAAAAAAGATCCAAGAAAATAAAAAAAAAAAAAACTTAATATTTTACTACAAAAAAGATAGTGAATGTTTATTCTCTATTTTCCTTTAAAAATTAATGAGTTAATAATGAGTTCACCTGTTTTAAGAGTTAGCTTGGGCAACCAACATGATTCAACAACAGAACAGGTTGCTGAGAAAGTCTAAAGACTCAACGATCTTCACCTACAAGGCCTCCAGGGAGCCGGCAGCTCGGCTTGACRGCCCTCAGTCTACCCCAGACACCAGACGGTGTGAGATACACTGTATTCAACAAAAATTTATTGACAGCCTTCTACACATCAAGCTGTGGTCAGGGGACAAGCGCCACCACAAAGAATAACTCAAGAAATTTACTGTAAATACCAAAGTTTATAGATTATGTCATGTACACATACACATGTATGAGTTATTGCTGTCCCTGTTTAAAATGAAAAAATAATTTGTACCCGTAATTTAACACAGACCCACCTTGTTGAAGTGGCTTTCGTAGGCAGAATTCCCCARGCCAAACACAGCGTATCTCATACCCTTCAGGTAAGTTCTGCCAAATCGAAAATCACTGGACGCCTCTTGTAACCATTTGCAGAACCACTCTGCACTCTCCGTGGGTCTGCCGTCAGTATACGTTGCAACCAGGAAGGCACAGACGCTCTTACTAGCGATCTAACCAAGACAGAGAGCTTAGAAGGACACTGAAGGTAAAACTTATCTAAGAATATTCAAGATACAAACAGTCTCAATGAAGAAGACCCTTTGCTAAAAGGCTGGCACTCCTGTCACCTAACTTCTAAGGATAAGGGGCATGTTCATAGACACTACTTATTTTCCAAAGGATCCCTTGCCAGCAACAACACCTCGCCTGGCTCCAACCCGTCTCCTGGCTGCTTCTCCACGCTCTATCCTACTTCTAGACTATAACTTCCTATCATCTTTTTTTTGTCATATTGGAAACAAAATCCCAAGCAGTCAGGAAAAAAATACAGAAAGGTCTCCTAAAACTACTTGAAAAAGTCATACAACATAACTCCTCACAACCTGGGTTCCGTCCCCAGCACCTGAAACACAACTTTTTTTTTTTTTTTTTTTTTGTACTGAGCATTGAACCCAGAGGCATTTAACCACTGAGCTATATCCCCAGTCGATTTTTCATTTCAATTTTGAAACAGAGTCTCACTAAGTTGCTTAGGGCTTCGCTAATTGCTAAGGCTGGCCTTGAACTTGCAGACCTCCTGCCTCAGCCTCCTGAGTCACTGGGATTACAGGCCTGCACCACTTCACCTGGCAAAAAACAACTTTTAAATGTAAAGTAACTCCATCACCTACCTGGGAAAGAAGCCTCAGCCCTTCTAGCCCAGAACCTCATCTGCCTGTCTCTTCACAGTTCCAAGTCATGAGGTTAGACTTTGGTCACATGTTCTTACTTACAATTAAGGATCAAAGTTGGCTAATAAGTTTTCACAAATAATTTATAGCATATCCAAGCTCATCTGCACCCCAGTATTTTCTTGTGGAGATGGATAGACAGAGTAACAACTAGACATTTATCCAGCAAAGGGCTGGCCAACTGTGAGACAAGGTCTCGGCGTTGCCCAGTCCTGCCAGGACTCCTGGGCTCAAGTGATCATCCCACCTGGGCCTAGGGGAGCTGAACCAGTAACTCTATGCCTGGTTTTTGCTGCTGATTTTTAATAAACTCTCATTGGAACTGCACTCACTTGTTACATACTGTCTACGGCTGTTCTGTGCCTTGACCGTATGCTTGGGACACTAAAGATACTTCCTTTGAGACCAGTGCCATGGCACACACCTGTAATCCCAGCTACTCAAGAGGCTGAGGCAGGAGGATTGCAAGTTCAAAGCTAGCCTCAGCAACAGCAAGGCGCTAAGCAACTCAATGAGATCCTGTCTCTAAATAAAATACAAAATAGGGCTGGGCACATGGCTCAGTGGTCGAGTGCCCCTGAGTTCAATCCTCAGTACTAAAAAAAAAAAAAATACAAGGGAAGGAGGAAATTTCAAGCTCTCCCACCCCTACCTCAGCCCAGAAGTATCCACCCCAACAAAGAACAGGCCACACCCCACGGCAGGATCAGCACACTACACTACACATTCAGGGCTTCTGATTCATGCTGAAAATTAAACTGGCTGAAATTCCTTAACATGAAAAATCAGATTTACTCTGAAGACTGTAATTGTCCCAGATGTCAAGAGGTCAATTAAATTTGAGTTTTTATTCAAGAAAAAAAATAAGATGATTACCAACCTCTTCTACCAGATGATCATCCGGATCATATTCTTTCAGATTAATAACTGCCACTGGCAGATCTAGGGAGGTCACTGCTTTGGTGAGAATTGTCGCAAATCCCTAGTAAGGAAAAAAATAAAATCATCAGTAAGCCAAACAAGCACAGCACAGCCCTTGTATCTCTGCTGGCAGGAGAGCTCGGCACTCCCTGGGAAGGCTTTGCTGGCGACTAGTGTCTGCCGTGGCAAGCACACAGCACCCTYGCACTCACCGTGTCCTCGTCACCCTCCCAGAGGCCACCACTGATCCTGTTCTCACTCTGAGGGTGGCACAAGACGAGACCCACGCTGGCTGGACATTCCAGCAGCTCTGCCCACTAGAATGAACACATAAAAAGCACAGAAAGAAATGTGGGGTGTGACGAGAAGGGGAGATACAAACAGAAGCAGGCTGACAGGTGACAGCCCTGAGGGAACTCCAGTTCTGACAGAACCACGGACCACTACAATACAAGATGTGAGAGATCTGGGCAGGAGGGAGCCAGGCAGTGAAAGTCCACGTGAGGGAGGAATGCACACGGGTCGAAGAGTGGAGGCGACACCAACCCCTCACCCCTGGCAAAACACTTGCCAGCTCTTCCTCAAGGAAATGAACCAAACCTGGGAAAGATAAACTGCTGGCCAGATTTTGGCACCCAGGAAAACAYCCTCCTCTTTTCTCTACGGTGGTCCAACACCTGACTCCTTGCCTTCCGGGACTATTAGCTGAAACTGGTCATCCACTGGCACTACCATGCCAGTTTGGGTTCTGGGCAATATTCGAAAACAGTGATCATAACAAACATGGCCCTTGATCTCAAGCAACTYGGGGTCTAATGGAGACAGAATAAACTAGGAATGAGAAAGGAGTACACCAGAGAGTRACTAGCAGCACTACAAGAAAAAAATCCCCAGATGAGGGCAGAAAGCGCAGGACTGGAGCCAGTGAGAGTTGGTATCGAACATGAAAGGGTAAGGACAAAGAGCATATTGAAAAACAAATATTTAGTCTTTGTCACCCAGCACAAAGCTCTAAATCCCTTGGAATTCACTGACTTGCCCGAGGTTTAATCCCCAGCAACGCAAAAAAAAAAAAAAAAGCTCAGCAGGCACAGCTATAGACGGGCACCTACCCCAGCTCAGCTAGTGAGGGCAGCAGTGTCAAGCCAGGGACATCTGAGGACTGTGTGAGTAGCTAGTATGAGAGTTCAAAATGTTTTCCCATTATTGATAAAGACATACTACATGAGCAGATGATAATTTAAACAATCATCAAGAATTAAAAACAGGGGCTGGGGATGTGGCTCAAGCGGTAGCGCGCCCGTCTGGCATGCATGCGGCCTGGGTTCGATCCTCAGCACCACATACAAACAAAGATGTTGTGTCTGCCGAAAACGAAGAAATAAAATATTAAAATTCTCTCTCTCTCTCCTCACTCTCTCTTTAAAAAAAAAAAAAAAAAAAAAAAGAATTAAAAACAGGAACAGCAAAAGGGGGTTTAGAGGTAGTGAGGTGGGTGCTTTCTGGAAAGCACTTTTCATTCTGAAATTTCTTTGTGCCTGGATTTGTTACCATCTGCAAGGATTCATTTGTTCTTTTAAAAAATTTAAACACACACATAAAGAGGCTCTGAACAAAATACTTTATGCATAACATGAAAGGACTTTGTTTCAGCTTCTCATGAATTTCTCCCTTTCCTCAGGTTTCCCACCTGCACTGCTGGGGGCTGACCTTGGTGAGAGGCTGCACTAGAGTCAAAGACAACTGAAGTGCTGATCACCTAAGAAGCATGCTTCTGAGTGAATCCTCAAGAGGGAAGTGGATCCTTCTTCAGTAGCAGACAGAAATAAGTCCTTGATTTTTTATTTATTTTTTTTTTAAAGAGAGAGAGAGAATTTTTTAATATTTATTTTTCAGTTTTCGGTGGACACAACATCTTTATTTTCATTTTATGTGGTGCTGAGGATCAAACCCAGCACTCCGCACATGCCAGGTGAGCGCACTACCACTTGAGCCAAATCCCCAGCCCAGTCCTTGATTTTTAAATAAGTCATTCTCATCCTAGCCCTACAGAAAACCTTTTTTGGGGGGTGGGTTGCAGTACTGGGGATTGAACCCAGGGGCACATTTTTTTTTAGAGACAGGGTCTTGCTCAGTTGCTTAGGGCTTCCCTAAGTTGCTGAGGCTGGCTTTGAACTCATGATCCTCCAGCCTCAACCTCCCAAGCAGCTGGAATTACAGGTATGAGCCACCACACTCAGCTAGAATCTTTTCCTAGAAAGCACTAAATAGCTCTGACCATCATAATGAAGAAGAAAGTGTCATCTAGACACAATTAAGAGAATATGAAGCAGCTCTCAGCTCCATGTATGTAGTACACATCTATTTTAATGTCCATCTTCAACACTTGATATTATTAGACATCAAAGCACAATTAAACAGGTGTGTGAACTGTGAAAGAAGGGGCCTGCATGGGTCACTTCTGCAGTCATCCTGCTTTGACTACCCCCTAGTCCTGGAGCCACAAGCAGAAGCAAACTTCAGAACAAAGACCCTTCGTGACAATGACCACCAGACACCATCCATCAGCTTTAACTGAATGCAAGAGATGAGACCCATCCATTCACCCAATCAGAAAGGAAAAATGTATGATGGAAAAAACAGGGGAAGTAACTAAAGATAAGAAGACTAACTCAATCCAATGCCAAAAAATATATTTCAGGAATTTTCTTAAAACGTCAAGAAGTCAAAGGAAAAAAAATCATATAAAGTTCTCACCTTTGCTGTACCAGTCTGGGAACCATAGAAAATCTTCACTCCAGATACAAAGATGTGCTTCTTTGGAAGGGAGGCATAATCATTTGTCATCAGATCCTGAGCTGCTTCTGGAATAGATCTCTCCTGTGAACTTTTGCCCTTGAAAATAAACAAATGCACAAAATCCATTAGGCTTCAATCTCTTCCCAACTTCAGTATGGATCAAGATTAACACAGCTAAAAAAAATAAATAAATAAATAAATGAAATAAAATTAAAAAAAAAAAAAAAGATTAACACAGCTATTAACCCTCTTCATTATTTTCTTGATCTTTCTGGTTGTACTCCTCAAGTATTAACCTCTTGGTATACCTTTAAAGACAAATCTTTTTTTTTTTTTTTTTTTTTTTTTTTGGTACTGGGGATTGAATTCAAGGGCACTCAACCACTGAGCCACATCCCCAGCCCTATTTTATATTTTACTTAGAG